AGGACGAGGAGGAGGAGGAGGAGGAGGAGGAGGAGGAGGAGGAGGAGGAGGAGCGTGAGGAGGAGGAGGACGATGAAGGAGGAGGATGAGGAGGAGGACGTACAGGATTTCCAATATTTCCACCATCTCGTAGTGATCGCCAGGCTTCAAGAACCCAGCAGGTGGGACACAGGCCGCGACTCTGATCCTGACAAGGTACTCGCGCCTGGCCTTTGAGGGTGGGATGGCGCAGGGCACAGCACGCCCCCCTGCGCTGGGCCTGGCCAGAATAGCCGCACGCATCGCAACACCACAACCGAACGCTGTTATGCTATGTTACACCTCGTCGGATCGAGGTACATGATCGAGATCGGTTTGGGGAGGGTATCCAAGGGTTTTCGTGCTTGCTGGATGTTCGTGCCCACCCTGGGGAGGGTACCCTCGGATGTTCTGTTTGTGTTGGCCGATGGAGGGTCTCATGCTCTTGAGGGATGTTCTTCTGGCCTGGGTTCGACTATACATTTTAGAAGAGCGTGTGAGGAATATGTCCAACCCCCAGCCACGTGTAGACGCCGTTCTCTCGGAGCTCGGGCGAATTGGCGATCCACATGCATGAGTTGGGACTATGCACCTTCTCACCATCCAGACAGCGCCGCTAGGAGGAAGATGTTAGGGGGGAGGCGGCGAGGGGAGGATGGGGGGATAGGGGGGAGGACACGCCAGCAGACGTGTATCACTCTGTGCGGATCATTGTGAGAAGCAGGAGCGGGATCGGGGACATGAACGTGAAGGAAGCACGCCCCGATCAGCAACACGTGCACCACGACCGCACCGTATCGAAGCCGATGGCGATGGAGACGAGGCGTGCAGATGAAACGGAGGAGGCGGAGGCGGATATTGGTGATGAGACGGAGGAGGATGAGTTGGAGGAAGGTTATGTTTAATGAGGAGGAGGGAAAGATGAGGAGGAGAACACATACACATACATAACAATAACACCACGACCAGTAACGATCATAGTCCGACGACGGCGACTACTATCGCTACTACGATGGTGATACCGCTGCTGATGATGACGATGCCGATGATGAGGAGGAAGCTGGTAATGGGGAAGGAGGGGGGCGAGGAGGCGGAGGCGGAGGAGGAGGATAATGATGGGAAGGAGGAGGATGAGAGTGCGGTGCACAGCATTGATCGTGCCTCCCCGCGGCCGTTTTCAACCCTCAAGGTTTTTTGCTGCGCAGCAGGTGCGCACGGACCTTCCCCGCGGGTGGATGGTCTGGGGCCTCCTCGCCGCCGCCGCCTCCGCGCCTGCCGCGACCAGCGGGGTGATCGCAGCCTTCTCGGCGTGGGTGCTGCGAGGCGCGGTCTCAGACGCGACCGAGGCGGCGCGGGCGGCAGGACGGGCGGAGGTCCATTGCCCAGACATCCCGGAGCCAGTCTGCCATTGTCACTGCATGTGTGAGGCGGTCGCGGCTCCAAGCGGGGGTCACCAGTCCTGGCAGCTCGTCGGTTGTGCGCTCGTCTGTCTGTTCTTCTCCGTGCTACAGGTGACCGTCACGTGCGTACAGTATGGCGTTGGTTGGTTTGGCAGTCGGTCCGCCGCCTCCGCCGGGACCACGAGTGCGGGGAGCGGACGGTTGGCCGTTGCCGACGGGGCCAGGGGGAACGATGCTACGGCGTGCACTAGTGAGGTGCGTGGGCGCGGGCGAGGAGTTGTCACACGAGCGATTGTTCCTGAATGATATGGTTGGGGGACTGGTCACCATCGCGCCCCCTGATTTCGATGTATACGACGAGGACATGAGCGACCAGGGTGTGTTCGAGACGGTGAGGTTCTTGGGCGACAACGGGGAGCTGCCGCTGGGACTTGGCGGTGCTCAGCTGTATCGATTTCGGCAGCCACCGACCGACGCGGAGATAGACCAGTTGCTGGCCGAGCCGATCGGCGTCGTCGCCCTCCGAGGAGCACAGGGGGCCGCTGGGGGAGCCGGCGGCCTGGCCGCTGGCGCGCCCGGCGCCGCCGCGGGCGGTGCCGCGCCAGCTGCCCCCGCCGTCGCCTGGGTGCTCGCGGAGCACGTAGACGGGCACAGCATCGGCGAGATTGTGACGATGCCGGCGGGGGCGGTGCAGGCGAACGGCTACGGCCTCATGGTGTTGCCCAACATGCAGGTGCCCAGGTCGGTGCTGGTCAAGCAGCTGAACAACTACCAGGCGGAGATCGATACGTTCTGCGAGGAGCGGATCAAGTGGAACCGAGCGGCGACGGCCACCCACGGCAACGACCAGGCGGTGGGTGACGACGTGCGGACTCTGTCGGTGAAGTATGGTCCCGATGGGACACGGAGGCGGGAGTTCAGGCAGTCCGTGCAGGAGATGACAGCGACCGAGTTTGACGACTGGCCTCTGAGTGGACCACGAACGACCGAGTGGATGTGCAGGGAGATGATCAAGATCAAGATAGCGGAGGGGCCGCGCGCCCAGCACTCAAAGTGGTTGGCCGAGGCAAAGATCCCCGACGGCGACCGCTCGATCCACGAGGACGCCAGCTTAGCGCTGGTGCAGGAGCTGGCGGTGACCTACGACGGGCTCAACGTCATGAACTTGGCCTGCATGGAGGCTGTGGCGCGCAGGCGCCAGCTGATTGCCGAAGCCCATCATGCCAACCCCAGCGCGCCGAGCTACGAGGGAGCCGCCCACTTCATGGGCGACGGGACGCGCGCGGGCGGGGCGCTGGTATCACCGGCGCTGACCGCCCATGTGTCCGATCGGCTGCGTGCTGAGGCGGCCATCTCGAAGGAGAAGCGCAAGGCGGCGGAGGCGCGCTCGCTTGCCCCTGGTCGTGGCCGCGGACGCGGCGGCAGGGGCGGCGGAGCGGGAGCCGACGCCGCCGGGGCTGGGTAGCCTACGGGACTAGAGGTGCGGATTGGCTCGGCCGCGTCTCGTCGTTCCCCGAGAGCCTGTGAGCAGCAAGTGGTGAGCAGGTCTTGACTCAACCTGTTCGTCGCTGTCTTCCTGTTTGGAGCCATGGCCAAGCACAGCGGCGAGGCCATCTTTTCTGAGGGAGAACGTCCCAAGCAGGTATCGTGATATTTTCCCTCTGCCTCGTCTCGCTGAAGGGCGCCGAGGTGACCTGCGAAGGATGTGCCGTTCTACGACACGGCGCGTGATGCGTCGGTGGGCTGTGGCAGCCGCAGTCAACAGGTCCGTGGACGCTCTCAACTCGATGTACTACGGTGCTCGTGATGTGCCAGCCCCTCCGGCCGTCAGCGACCTGATGGCGCTGCCGCAGTGCCGGCGCGCTGCTCTTGCTCATCTGATCGCGCGTGCGCGTGAGCTGGGCCCCGAGCCTCCGAGTGTCACCCGCCCAGGAGCCCTCCAGGAGCCTCGGGTTTTTAAGCATGATTATGCAGGGGACCTGGGTCAGGGCACCCGGGTTCCCATGGTTTTGGAGAAACTGTCGCTTCCAGACGTGGAGCGGTCGCCGGTGGATTTGGGGTCAGTCTTGGTAGGGTTGCCCCTGGAGTGCCTTCAGAACTTTGAAGAGAAGATGCTCGTCGGTGCAGCGGTTTGGAGCCAGCTGTCCGATGAGGCATCTCGAGTGCCGCCTTACACGGGCCCGCTGTTGAGAGCCCTTGGGGGCTTCTGTGCGTTTGCTTCCAGGATGGCTTCTCGGGGTCTCGTGAGGTTCACTCGGCGCCCCGCCGCTCGTATCGGGGCGTTCAC